GGCAGTGATCCCTGACTAACTTGTCTACCATTTGACCTGTGCACTGTTTTTTTTCTGCCATCTCTGTTGCCCCAGAAAAAAGTGATGATAGACTGCTATTATGACCAGTTGAAGAAGCAGATATTTGGAAAATATGGGTAGCCTTGTATGCTTTTGGAATGCCCTTGGACTTGAATGCACACACGGACCATGTCCACATGAGCGTGGATGTTTATTTTGCAGGGGGCAAGAAGCAGTGGCGCACCTTGTACTGCTGCTACTTGTCCCTGGGGAACGCATGTGCTGTGTGCCCTCTAGCATGTGGCAGGTTACCGTGGGTGGGTAGGGGAGGCTCTCAGCAACCTTACCTGGGGTCTTCTGGGGCTGCAGCAGTGGCAATCCGGCAGCCGGAGTGTGACTTCAGCCGGCCAGGCTCTAGTTTTGGGTGCTGCGCACTGCCCTGTGTGCACAACTCTGCTTTTTTTTTGCACGGGTTTTTATGACCTTGGGCTCTCCTGGGGTCAACCCCCCCCCCCCACACCGCTACCTTGCAGCGCAGGAACAGCTGAATGCGCAGGGTGTGGTGCTGCGGACACGTCTGCAGCACCGCATACTGCATGGCCATGCTTGTCTGGATGTGACCACAGCGTGCACAAGATAAGTAGCTAAACATGGAAGAAAACTTTGTTTTAATAGCTTTTCATACTGATTTGTAGATCATTTTGAATACTTTTCTTTGTAGTTTTCCAGTGTAGCTGCTAATGTGATTTTCATCTACTTTCTCCCTCCCCCGGGCCTGGTTCTGCCCCTGTCTTCCAAGCTTACACTGACAGTGTAAGGAGCAAAGCCTAGGGATAACTTCCCTGGAGACTTGGAGGAAAGCTGGTGCCAGGGGCAAAGTGTAGAGCAGCAGTTCTCAACAGTTTTAGACTCAAATTAGCCCTTGTTAGGCTCAGGGCACCCTGTGGAAAATTCCAGCTCTCAGTTTTCACTCATTTTTGAGTGGAACAATAATAGAGCAATTATTTTGTTGCAGAGCACTTAAAAAGATCATGACGGGTCAGAATGCTTTGAACACTGTAGATTCTGATGTGAAATCACTGGGTTTGTCTTGTGAACCAGGCTTGCACACCTAGGTGTGCCTTTGACAAGATCTCAAGGCACCCTGGTTGAGAATCACTGGCGCAGCATGTTTGACCTCTGTCACCTTTGGTTGTCCAACTAGGAAAGAGGTCTTCAGCAGTAGGTATCACTTGTGAGTTAGCCAGCAATGCATTGCCATATGCTGTTTATCTCTTGGTTCTGCTAGTTCTTGTCTGGAACAAGTAATGCTTTTTTGTTAGTTTTATCAGTTTAATTACTGGTTTGTTTTTCTGTCTAACTTGACTAACTTGTGAAAGTCTATTAATTATTCACTTAGTGTGCATGTAATTGTACAATACAACAAAATCCCTCAAGGCATTTACCAAGTAAAAAGAATTGAAGGGGAGATGATGAAAGCACCAGGAGGCAGTAGACATTTCAATGTAGAGGCACCTTTTGAGGAGGATATGGGAGGTCGTTAAATCAGTAGGATGAAACATGAAGAGACGTGGCATTGTTCAAGTCTTAATTTTTTAAGTTTAGATGTTCCCATAGGTGACATCTCATGTGAGCTTGCAGTAGGAGTCCAAGTACCATATTTGCTAGAACAGAAGATGTCCCTGATTACAAGATGACTCCCAAAACTTAGATTCTATATATGGAAAATATATAATACTTGGATGCCTATCTTGCTGGGATCATTTGACCCCAGCTGACTTCCTGCCCCTTGGGCAGGGGGCTGGACCCGATGATCTTGTGAGGTCTCTTCCAGTCCTAATGCCTATGAAATCTATGCATTTGCTATAATTTTCTGGGTATAGAATCCAGTTATTGGAGGTTTGCTTTGAATTTGTCCCCTTCCCACTGCTACATCAGGGAAATAATCTGGGGGATCAGATAGCTCTTTGTTCTCTACTTCCCCCCATCTTCTTCCCCTGGTAGCCCCTTCCTCCTCCTTGTACTGTCAGAGCCTGACTGTAGCAATTTGCATCCAGTCCCCACAGACTGAGTTCATCCAGAATTGATGTATAGTATAGACCCTTTTTTGAAATGGCTGCAAGTTTTAGCACAGGTGTTTCATAACCACAATTTTGAGCAGCATGTTGGCACCTAGTTATAACTAGTATAAACGAAGCCCAAATCAGTTCCAAATTCACTTGGGCAAAGTCAAAATGTCAAGTTTTGAAATTTGACTGAGCTGAGCTCAGACATCAAGTCTGCATGGCTCTACCACCGGGCAAGTTTCCTCCTTCCCTCCCAGGCCCGTCAGTCTGGGGTTTCAGATACTCCCCAAATCCATGGCAAGCGTGCTATGTGCAAGCTCCAGGCCCAGAAGCTTTGGAGTTCAGATACCTCCTAATCTTGCTTGCTTGTAGCCAAAAGGACAAGGAGCAAGCTAGGGAAAAAACACAAGCGCAGTACCCCCTTGCCAGAAAATGCCCAGAGTGCAAGGGACAGGCCTCTCCCTATAACTTTAACTTTATTAGTGAATGTTAAAAAGGGTAATTCCAGAGTTGAAGGGGTAGGAGGAAATGCAATATCTGGGTGAGGGTGGCTATATAATGCAGGATGGGATGCGACTAAGTTGCATAGCAAGAGTGTAGCCTACTTAGTCTGGGGGTGGGGTGGGGTAGGGGAAGGGGAAGGGGGAGCCAAAAGGCGCGACACTTACAGAAGAGCGAGAATCCTCCTGCGCAAGGAAGTGGCATCGTTGCAGAGAGGTGGGTTTTAAGGGATGTGCACAGGTACAAGTAACAGCAGGTGGAGTACAACTGTGGAGGTTGTGATCCATTGGGGTGGTGGGCAAGCTGTCTCTTCTGGCTGTTGGGGTCCATGTACTGGCGCTCGTCCATAATGTGCTCAACATAGATGTCTCTTGACCAGCTTGTGATGTCAGACACCATGAAATGCCTCATCAGTTTGGTGATGCTCAGCAGGCCCGCGGGACACTCATTGCTGGGGTCCCGTGCTCCGAGTGCCTTGACACTCATCTCGTATCCCCAGCTCTGCAGGACATCTGTCAGTAGTTGGTACTTTGTTTCTGCTCACAGGCTTCAATGAAGGCATGCTGCCAGTTCTCGAAGGGGGTGGTGATATCAGCCATCACAGCGTGCCTGTTCCCATTGGCCATGACGATGTCCGGGTGCCGTCGGCTCTCACAGCCTGGGGCGGTGTGGTTGATGGTCACCGTCCCAGCTGTGACCAGGATGGCCTTCACCAGCTGCTCCTGGGCAGCATTGTGGCACTTGATCTTGTGTGACACTTGATCTTAGCCCAAGAAGCTAGTACTTAGTCTTTTATGGTTTGACAGTGAAATTCAATTCTATCTCCCCCAGGAAAGCTCCTATGTGGAGCTTCTCCTTCTCCTGTGATTTCTAGACCTCTAATAACTCGTGTTTCTCTCTAGAGTCTGTCCAGTTTGCCATGTTTTCCCTGAAGTGTTGTGACCAGAACTGGACAGGGTATTCCAGTGAGGCCTCCACGGTTCTGAGCAGCACAGGGAATCGCTTCCTGTGACAGAGCAGTGTCGGGGCTCGCAAAGACTGGAAAAGGAGTCAGCCCTGAGGGGGTTGCACTTAGCGGGCACTCGCATGCAACGGCCTTTTGGCTAGGAGCAAACAAAACTAGGGGACATTCACACCCCAAGGCTTCTGGGTCTAGGGCTTGCACATCGAATGACTGCATCCCCCCCACCCCCACCCCCGACCTGGTTCCTGGCAGCACGTTTGCCCAACAAGGGCCGTGTGTTTTATAGTTGTGCACAGCATTGGCTGCATTCAGTCAGCTTCATAGTGGGTTTATGTTGCTGAGATCATGCTGCTTTTGGCAGCAGTTTAATGATGGCCAGTGCATTTATGAGATTTTCATGCATGTGATTATAACACGAGGGGCTTTTTTCCCCATGCCGGGGGGGGGGGTCTCGTCTTGGAATGGAGTAAATACGGTACTCTCATTTGAACACTCATTTAGGGAAGACTTCTTCTGTGAGAACAGAACAATTGTGGAAGCACTTTTTTTAGGTATATTCTGCAGTGTACTTAATACAACACGCTTGTAATGAGTGAATGCACTGTATTCAGATGTTCATGCTGTAGAGCTCATTTACAAAATATTTAAGTCCAGTTTCCTAATTTTGTAATTGAATAGAGAAACAAACATTTTTTTAAATATGCCGTATATTAAAGCATGCTAATTAACATGTCATACATAAAAAGATTTTAAATAAAATGTGTTTTAGAGGTCTTTGAATCATGCTCACATTTACCTCAGTGTTAAGGTAAAGACTACAAAATATTTTTTAATCTAGTGTTTTAATTAAAAAAAAGAAGGGAAAAAAAAGAAAAAAGTTCAGCTATGTACTTGATTGAAATGCAGTAGCTATGTGCAAACTTAACCAAAGCCTGGAAAAGTGAAAAATGAAGTTTTTGATTTGGAATGTATGAAACTGGACAAATGCACGTTTCCATAGCAATCTCTTAACTTTTCACAGTGCTGCAAAGTTGGCTAGGATGTTCTGTGTTGTTGAATAAAACTACTTAAACAATTTTTAACATATTGACATGTCAGAAAAAACATTTAAAACCAGTTGCAAAATTCTTAATTATTGGATGGATCTGTTCAGGGTTAAAATCCTTTTATGTAAAAAGGTTGTAGATTTTCGTTTTCTTTTTCTGGCTTTATTTTCCCTTTAAGACATACAGTGGAAAGAAAACATTTCTTCAGCAAACTCATGGTTTACGTTCGGGTTAGGCTTTTAAAGAAGGTTTCACATGTTCATTGGTGCAGTGCGAAAGCACCTTGCAGGAAGAGC